AGTTAAGCATAGCTATTCCGGTTCAAAAATTCGAATTTCGATTTTGCTGTGAAAAGCTGCGTCAGTCATGCCCTTTCTGGGTGTAATCTTTAGTTGGATACTGCGGCACATACTTACTCCTTGGCCAACAGAGATACAGCATTTTACTTTTTCTAAGACCGAATTATCTAAGTTTAATTCGACACCAGTATGTTGTTGGTACTCTGTACTAGCTCTTTTCAATACGTTGATTTTCAGAATCATTCCCCCGTTAAGCTCCAGCAGCATCTCATTCATCTCGCAAGTGCGCTAGTGGTGAAAATTACGAAATCCATGAAGCGCAAATGGTCTAGCTTCTTATCATTGATATTCAAAACCACTTTTCAACAAAGCCTGCCATATACCGTCTCAAAATATGTCAGTTTCTAAGCTAATTTACAAATTCAGAAGATAAACTAGTTCGTTACATGTGAAAATGCGCCATCTGATGGGTTCCAGAAGGTTATGTATCCACGCGAATCACCGGATGCCAATAAATCACCACTGAAAATTTTCCACATTTTATAACATGCTCACATTTATCTCACCAATCCTGGTCGACTTTATGACTTTTTCATATTTTGAAAATGTTTATCCAAAACTTGTTGGAAGACTGCCGTCTGCATAAACTGTGTTCGGAAATAAACTAATTTTGAGACAGTCAAGACGTCCTTGTAAGAAAGAGTCACAGACAACAAAGCTAATATCACCCTAGTGAGTTTTCCAACCCAGAAAAGGCTAGAAAATTCCAAACAGAACTTACTACGCAACTCTATGATGCCAAATAAAACTAATAAAACTAATACATCAAGGCCAACTTATCCACTATTTACTCTCAATGAGAAGCAGAAACAGCCAAAAATACCTGAATGGTAGCACCTAGCACCAGCAGATTTTTCAACAGTTCCCTTTTTCAAAAATTATTTAAAAACAAGCTGCTGACAGTAAATTTTGTTCCTTTGGCACGCACCAGTACCAATTTACCATCGAAGCGAAAGAATACACGCAAAGGTCAGGGCTGATCTGTTGACCTTCAGCTTATCACTGCGCCATGTCAGTTAGCTAAGCTAATGCAGAGAATCGATAAAACTGATTATTAACACAAAATGGAACATACATGAAGCAGAGGCACCAGACAATTGTTGGTTTGCGCTTTTCAACGCGCGGCAATTTCAATGTATGTTCGATACGCTGCTTCTGCACATTGATTAGCATGATTTCATCCATGGTACCAGCAGCAATGGTAGTACCATTGCACGCCAACGACATAATATGTGCATCGAAACCTGTCAAATAAGTTTTTTTTTTTTTTTTTCACAACCAAATACAACAAACCACTTTTGTAAGGATGCAGCAAAAAAGGAAGAAAATAAAATCCAGGAACAAGCATGCTGAGCATCAGGAAACGCAGCTCTGGCCGATGCACCCAAAGAAAGGATGGATCCAAACAAGAAAAAACAAACGTTTCAGTAAAACTGATGAAAAAACTTTTGAAAAAAGCTCTGCTTCGCTTTACTGGTAATCAGGAGTAACAAAGTTGATATTTACCGGTGGATATTGTTTTCGTTGATGCAATCCAATCATCCTGGAGCGCAAACAGCAATACCGCTCCAGAATCAGAACCAGCGCAAAAGGCACTCGCTGATATTGAAGCTAAACACCACAGTGGACTTGGACAAAGTTGTGATGTCTGAAACAAGCGAATGAGCAAGCAAAGCAAAACGATTCAGAATGCTGAAAATAGGAAATACGTAAATTTCAAAAATATAAAATATTGTGGAATGAGCGTGATTTCCGATGGTAATGACAC